TCAAATGCACTAGCTATGTTTGTGAAGCCGAAGCCCAATGTGTCCTAAGTCGTGAGGGTCTCATATTGTAGTGGTGAGGTTAAGTGAATTGTAAGAATGACAGTAAACCAATATTAAGCTCCCACTTAAATCACCCATCTTCTTCAGCCACTGCTCAATCTTTTTCTATCAGTGCATACTGTACCTTTTCATTTTCTACGCTGGTCTCTTCTGGCCCTCATCAAAGTGTGAAATATTGTCGGTCCCTGGAGGTGTTGCCAGCAGAGAATCCAAAAAATACTGAAACAACAGTTCTTTCTGAAGGTAGATAAACACCTTCACTAAACGGCATCTGTGCCGTCCAGAAGAAGACTAGAGCCCTTTTTGAAAGGCTCGGTTTCTTTTAAGCTTTTCAAGGGATATATATATATATATATATATATATATATATATATATATATATATATCGTTTATTTAAGAAGGGAAATGCACATTAATCAACATGAGCACTTCCACGATGTAAATGTGCCAGAATGAGCCATCAAGGCTAATTTTCATCCGTGTATGATATACTTTCTGCTGTATTGTATATCAGGATGTTCATAAGACTTTTAGAATTAAGAAAACCTAATACCTTCAGTTGGTTTATGAAATGCTGAAAGCTCTGCTTTTCCTGCCATCTAGTGGTTGTTTTTAGTTTTTACCCAAATAGTAATGTAGGTTCACACAGAGAACAACATGCTATTACTACCATGTACCATCCCGATGAGTGATTCTGGGACTCCCACAAATGTCCCGCAGACGTCAACAAATCAGGGACATGCAAATGTGTTGTTTTAAATACATCTAAATAAGATTTTGTAATTCATCACACTATAAAATCACCTTTTTTTTCATTTTGTATGCATCATTCTTTTCCTGAAATGCACATTGCCTGTTAATGCAATATGATGATGTCTTCTTACCTTTGTATAAATGATTTATTAACACATGGCTTTTCAAACCCCTCACTGTTTGATAATTTCACTATTTGGATGAGCACATAAAAAGAAAAGTATGTTCTTTTTTGGAAAAATATGAAGTGATTTTCTGTTCTCCATATCTTTAATTCTGATCAAACTGAGCACTGGCAGTCATTCTATAGCATGCACACTTCAGCTTCCTTTTCCATCATCACGCTCTTTTGGAGCTGAGCTCATTTTAACACCTACTCCTGTAATCAAACACTTACCTTGCATATTTGGCACTGGATGATTCCCCGGTAACTGGCTTTCGGAAGGAGATCTTAAAGTTTCCGAGCTCCTCTGAGAAACCAGTGATGGATGCGAGGCGGCTTCTATCCTCAACGTGAGCCTCCAGTGAGCCCTGGGTGTCTGCTGCTGCGTAAAACATCAGGGAGATGACTGGCGCTTGAGGGGCCGAGCTCTGTTGGGCAAAGACAAAACAAAAATGATCAAAACTTGAATAAAAAAACATTCATCATAAGACATATCTGCAACTGGATGGTACACTTGTGGGTCATGTGAGGAAATATATGCTCATAAAGCTGAACAAATCACACTCACATGCTGTTTGGCGGTGATCCTCCAGGTCCAGTCTCCTCCGTGACCCCCACCCATCCTCTTGACAAACTCTGTGGTGAGTGTGAAATCGTTGTCTCGGATTTCTTGGACCCCAAAAGTGATCCCATCATGCATCATCCAGCCATAGCCTTGCAAACGATCCCCTTGCTCACAAGTGTGCCTCAGGTTTACGTCCATGTCCGAAAACTGACGCATCCACATCATACCTGGGGAGATGTAGCAGTGAAAGTTAAGTTATTTGGTTGTGGTTTACAACACAGAAGATGCACAAATACAACATTTGGAAGATGATTCAGTCTCAAAACTCACTGGCTGCATGCACCATGTTACCGGCCAACAGGGTTTTGAGAACAGTGGTGCTTGATTAACTGTTGGTACTCAACATCGGAAAATACAGTTCACATTGTGCTGTCAACTAATAAACAACATTGGTCTTCCAAATTGGCTGACAGGGTAAACAGGTAAACAGTCCCAGGAACTATGTCCAAAATATTCTTGAATTTGACAAGTGCCTGGGCTTATTTCCCAGATCTAGTGCAATTTAACATTGAAGATTTGATTGAATCACCTTATTACATCATTGTATACATTTCAAATTGGATTCTAATTAATTGAAGTAAGATGATGTAAACGTTTTAAATAAAGCTTACTGTATTGCACAGAATCAGTAAGGTTTAAGAGGTTAAAAAGCTCTCTTTGTGGTTTTCAACTCATTATTGTGGGGCTAAACTCGCTTTGTCATCATGATCCAAACATGGACACATGTTCATATGATATACGACATGTCTCTCACCTGTAACAATGGACCTGGGACTCCTGGTTTTCATGCCAAAGTAGACCTGAGGCCTGTACGAGCCCCAGAACCTCTCCGTGGAGACCTTGGCACTGCTGCTGTTGGCGTCCAGGACAGGGTGCGACGGGTGCAGCGTTATTACCCTTTTGGACAGACTGGACCGCATGTAAAGCGCGTAAAAGAACCAGATCAGGCTGAATATGCAGAGGCCAATGGAGATGTTGATGAAGACTTTGCCAATATCAACTTTCTTTTTCTTCTCTTTACGGGGAAATGCAGTGGGCTTCTCATCTATCCTTGGAGGTGGAGCAGCTTCACCGGTCACCACCCTTTTCCTCTGCCTGCCCATCCTGCCCTGCTGAAGCTGGAGACAAAGAGAAGATATTTGCATTTATAAAGTATTTGTTTTGTACCAATGACATGTTCATGAATATTTAAATATTGCTTTTAGACCAAGAATGGTAGTCCTATTGTAAAAAAAAACTAAAACTAAATAAATACACTGGTTATGGAGAAGTAAAGGAGTTGCACCATTAAGATAAAAGGAAAACTCAGGTTTCTCTTTTAAAAATGTATATTAATATAAAAGAGAATAGCTGATTAAACCAACATGTTTAAATAGACAAAGGTCTAGCCAAGTTAGACATAAACTAAATACATACAAATTGGTTGTGACAAAAAAGCAGTGCAACAAAAACAGATAAGGCATTCAGGCATTTTGCAGGTACATTACAAAAGAAATACAGGTTTAACAGCTTTCTGTCTGCACTATAAACTATAGCTATGTTTAGTTGCTAGTTAAACGGTACACCTAGCTTAACACATGCAGTGTAATACAGTCCTGAAACAAATCCTGCCCTTTAATGTTCTGTATTTTGTTTAAACTGTATTAGAGAGGCTGCAGTTTGTGTCGTGCTGTTCAATTGTATTGAGTATAACGATCATTTATTTCAATATTCTTTCGACAAAAACTGAAAGGGGGGGCAAATGATAAGGAAATAATCTAAATATTCAAACAAATGGATGTAGGATTTATTGAATGACTGTTATTTAAGGCAACATTATTCTAAGCATTACCACACACACTCACAAAGGAGTTCAGTGTTTCGTCCACTAAAGCAACGGGACATATTACCATTATTAGAGTACATACATTACAGTATTGTATAATAATTGCGTTAGCATTTAGTTAACGTCTTCCAAGGCTAAAATAAGCGGTTTAGCTAGCTTACGTTAACTCTTAAGGTACCGTTGCATGGTGTGTGATGGCAAAAATGGTGCAAGTACAGCGAGCATGTTAAACTTAAACTCTGCCTGTTAAATGTAAGACACATGGGCATGGCACAGAAGCCCTGACATACACCTGCTCTTCTCCTGACAGATTCCGCTGTATCTCTCCACTACGCCCCGGTTATGCAGCGCTTCCTGCTGCACGATACTCGCTAGTAGTGCTAACGTTATATCATTTTTTAGCAAAACCGACCGGCTATCGCTATCTAATGTGGCATTAATCAGTCAGAAGCTAGTAAATTTGCAACCAATAAGTACTTCTAGGTTAATGTTCATTGAGCAAATGATTACTAACCTGTCAAAATACCAAAGTCTCAGCTGCTCATTATCCGTTGCTAGCTTACTAGCCACTTCCTGGTTACTACTCGTTCCCACTGACGTGTACTTTGTTTCTTCTTCGACTTCCGTTTAAGGTAGGCGTTACAGTCTACAGACCTATATTTAATTTTCCCTTTTTTGAACATCATATATTTTGTTAACATCAGGGGTATTATAAAGTAATGAAAATGTCCTTAAATGAATAAGAAATAAAATTAAAATAAAGTTTTATATTTCAAATTAAATATTTGTTAAAAAAAGACTATTGGTTTTGATTGACCTTTTTATTCAAAATGTTTTTAAAAGTGCTACTTTGTTTTAGTTATTGGTAAAACATTGCAAAATTAGGTTTTATTTTTATGAATATGGCATTTCCCAAAAAATTGGAAACTGTACAGAAGAATTACCGACCTATGTATACGGCCTACGCTACAAGTCAAAAATGCTAACCTTTATTGGACAATTATTATTCGTATTGCAAGTTTTCTGAAATGTTTAGTTTACATATGCAAATGAGGCATGATCGTATCCATATATGTTAATTTTCATACAATTCAGGAACAGAAATCCTGTTGGATAAAGCCTTTCTCCTTATGGATCCATGATAACAGGATTACAATCCTGCTTTTATTTTTGTTGACATGATTTTTTTTTACAGTGGGAATTAGTGGGAATAAAACCGCTTTGCAACCATAAAAAATGAAGAAAGACTTGAATGTGACTGCAAAGTTTGTGTTTTTAAGCACTACGCAGATGAGATTTCTGTATAATAATATAATATATATATATATATAAATGTTATGATTTTGTTTGTGTTGAAATATGAACATTAGGCTTTATATTTTGCAAACGTTTGGCAAACAGGAGAAATCTATAGACTGAAATCAAAGTAAATTAAAAAAAGGTGTTTATACATTTTAAAATCCTTTTGAAATGTCACATCTCTAATATGATTCAAGTCTAGCTTGTTCATCATAATAAAAATAGATCATTTACATTTGACGTGTGGAAGGAAAAAATGCAAATATGACACTGTGGAGGGAAATATGTAGTTTTATTGAAATATATAAATTGAAGTTAATGTTTAGGGGAGTGTTTTAAACATTTTGCCGTTCCAAAATAAGTAAAGAGTAAAAATGTGATGTAGGAATACAACACATAAACATTATAGTCTATTTGACAGTGGACAGCTGCATGCATGCATGAATGTCCTGCGAATAACACCAGTTTCCAAAATATGAACCATTTAACATAATTTCCCTCAACCACTTATTTACACTGTAAGCATTATAAAGCTTTGCCATGAGACATGGTACCAGGTATCTTAGATGTACCATGGATGGGGTCACAAGTCAGAGAGAAAACAAAAAAATTAAAGCTTTGGCCTCAAACTGCTTCTCAGTTACAGGTTTAAATAAAAAATGTCTACACCTGCTCCGACCATTATTCATAAAGAAAGATGGGAAATAGACAGAAGATATATTGTTGAAAGACAAGTGGAAACATACCACTATGATCACAACTGATGAATAATCAACAAATGTGATTGATGTACATCTCTACTATACTTGCACAATAAACCACCCCTGGTTACTTTGAATCAATACTGCGGGCATGACCAAAAATAAATACAGAAAACAATTTTTGTTGCTTTTTAATGAATTATATATATATTTTTCAGACACATTTTTAACTTTCGTCAACTTGAAAAACAACCAGTGTCAGAAAAGAATATGCATAAATGAATATGCTTATCAATCAAAGCTGAGGTGGCCATTTTTACAGACAAATTAGACAGGTAAACCAGTTTAAAGTCAACTTCCTGATCAATTCTGCTCTCTACATGTTGAGCTGTAGATTTATTAACTGAAAATTCTCTAAGTGCTCTAAACATTGTATGCTTAATTTGGTTTTATTTACATACATTAACCCCAATATTTGTTTTTCTTCCAGAAAAAGAGCAACGTATATTTGCCCAAAGCAAGTTTCAAACACCCAACCAACCAACCAGTGCCAAATACTTGCTTTTTATGCTTTGCTTTATAAAGTTAACATTTGGTCTCAGAGGACCAAGATGCAATAAAAAGAAAACTGAACAAAAAAAAACCCCTTTCATAAAGGATCAGTAGAAATCACTTGTACCAGAAGGTACTAAGTATGTTGTCCTTGAAATAATTTGTGGCAGAAAATGAAGCGGTTTTGATCCTGTTGTTGAACCAAATTACTAAGCACTCTGAATGTTGAGTATGCTCTGTCTTTTAAGTAATTATTTTCGATAGCGCTCAACATTTAGCGAAGCAACAGACAAAACACCCAGATTCATCTCCCACACACCCCAGCCCGTCTACTCGTCTTTCTGCAGCGCATCGACCCCAAAAATAAAGAATTTTCTTACAAAAGAAATTCACAAACCGTGATCAACAAGATGAATGGAACTGATCGCCTGGGCGAATTTTTCGTCTACTTACACCAAACGTCAATGCTGGTTTGTGTAATGACAACATTATCAGGAGAGGAACAAGGAAACTTTAGACTGCCAGCACGCCCCGAAATCACGGGGGAAACATGTTTAAGCTGGAGAGGAAACTGGGTGAGGACCTGTAGACACCCCTCCTCTCCCTCCTCCTGCGGCTCTTCCTCCTGTGAATTAGCTCTTGATCACTCCACCGTCTCCTTCACTGACAAAGCGCTTCCGTCCCCTGGTGGTGGAAATACAGATTGAGAAACATGTTTAATGTAAATTCAGTATGCAACTTAATACTTCTTAATAAACTAAAATAACAAATAATTTAAAAGGTTAAAAAAGCTAGTCTTTTTATCGTCAACCAACCCAGTAATACAACCAAATTGAATCGATCCTTACAACAAGTTCTGTTTTTGTCTTTGGCATAGAGCTCCATTGTTTTATCAAAAACTATAGACATCAATGAGCTACACCGTTGTACTGGATGAAGTAATACTTAATATTACAGTCATCAGCTGTTTTTGAAAATTAAATGCAACAGATATAAATACGGTTATATAAATACCAGGACACAGGTGAAAGGTACAAATTAACCAAAGGAGAGCAAGCAGCAGGTTAAAAAACAAAATCTTTTTCAGGAGGAATCAGAAATGGAAAATATTGAGCAGTATTTTTATATAAATCAGCCACCAGGATTTTTTAAATTGTGGAAATTAGGCACCGATTGCACAGAATGTGTTGTGGCCGTCCTGGACTTCAGTGAAAGAGACTTTTCTCCGGTTTTATTTTCTATTCAACATTAGAGAGCCCAGCTGAAACCATGGTCAAAATAAAGCACTTAACGAGTGACTATGAAGCACCTTTTGTGCTTAATAACTGAGCAGGTCGCTGTCTTGCTGATCTTTGTGGGTGTGGGCGGGTTTGCAAAACATGACATGCAGAGACAAACAAACGATTTTGGCCTTTTCTGAGGATTTGTTGTTTAAACTATAAAATAACAACGGCCATTAGGACTTTTTTAGTTTTGAGATATGAAGACAAAAACTTGAGGTGCTGATTCAAGACAAGTTTACCTGGAAGGGCAGGCTTCCTGCAGCTTTTTGGTAATCACACCCTCCTTGAAGCAGAGGTCCACAAAGGTCTCCATGATGGAGTGAGCATGCGGCACATCCAGGTTGATTTCTGGGAGCTCGTCATAGACACGCTGGAAACCCTACATGGAGAACAGCATAGGAATTGTTTAACTCATGTGTTTAATGCACAATTATATTTATAACTTTTGATACTAGAACATTAAAAATGTCACTGACCCTGTTCATCTGATCCACAGTGATGAGGCCCGTTTTCCAGAAGGACTGCAGCAGCTTTATCATCATGTGACTGGCAGTGTCTCCTTTCGACTCCAGCACCATAACCACAACCTGAAAAAAGAGAATACAACACCTAACGTTTAAAAAAAAAAGAGAAGTGTTGCAATTATTTCTTTATTTATGTTTAACATCACAGCGAGCTGCAGAGTTCTCCACAGGGTGGCAGTATTTAACATCATTTCAAAACATAAGGAGCTATAATTTCATTACTTAATATGTAAAAAAAAACATATTTTAATTTGTAGTTATTTCTAGATACTATAAATCTGATAAGCTAAAACAACTCCAGCTGAGTGAATCCTTTATGAATGTGCTGCACCTTAAAAAACAAACAGCACTAAGGTCCAGTACATTGTGTCCACAACTAATCAAACATTTGGAAACCAATTCTTGATCACCTGTTTTTTTTTATTACAAAAACAGATGTCACAGAGTAAACATGTTCACTCAGCTACACCCTGAACATAATCACAGAGAAATTAGCACGGAGGATAGACAGTTCCATGTAATGCAAAGTGCCTTTTAATTTAAGATGTATTTGGACTGAGCTGTTGATGCATAAATTGCAAATGAGATTATCTCTGCCAGACACACGCTGTCCTTGGCAGAGAGCGGTGATGACAGTCACCAACCACTTACTAATTTTCCTTTCCAATTCACTTCACTTGGCTGTCTGACATGTTTGACATATCTCTGAAAATGTTATTTATACCTGCAAGTCTTACTCAATCTTCACATGTGTGCAAAACACTTAAGTTTAAATGTGTCTTTTACATATTGAATTCAGCTTCTGCATTCAAGTGTTTTATTCTATTGCTTTTGTTTGACTGTTTTCTTGATGAATATGTGAGAAAGTGTGTAGGGTTTTTCATGACAAATAACATAAAGTCTTCAATACCTCATAGACCAGTTCATGGTGGAAGTGTGGGACCTCCAGATCCCGCAGACAGTGCTCCGCCTCCGACACGTCTCCTGATACCAGGTACTCCTTCAGAAGGAGGTTCATCTGGAAACAAGACACACAAATACAACTTTGTTATTGAGGTTTCTGTGGCAAACCGGATCAAACGAAGCTGGAATAAAGTAAGACTGGAGGGGGTCGTTCTGCTGTAAAGCCTTTCAAATGTAATACATATCCTTTGGAATCTTTCCGTGAGGATACAACAGAATGGACTGCAAAAGTTTGTTTCTTTTCCTGTTAAGAGAAAAATCAGAGCGAGGGTGGTGATTGAGGCATGATAATTGATGGAATAAGTCTGTCGAAATTATGCTAAATATCCCACGTTCAGATACATGGACCTCGTCTTTATCTAGTGCAAGACTTTGTTTCAACACACCCAGGGTATTGTGATACTACAATAGTTACAAAAGTTAACATAAAATCTTTAAAAATATGTTTTTATTCACGGGACTGTATAAAAGACAGAGCTGAAGACAGAGCTCAATAACATCTACCCGTTGCTCAAAAGTATTTCCTCAATCCACAATATGTGGGGGGGATTATTAGAGCAATAACCTGACTTCCTTGGGAAATAAAACTCTGCACACATGTCTGATATATCTGGAAATCTGTCTTCGTGTTTAGTGGTGTGCATAAACGGTTCAGTCTCTGCTTTATTTGTAAGTGTTCATTTGTTATATAACGCTTACTGATCTGCACATGCACCAACCATTTCCCTTAAAAACCTATTTTTGGAACAATTAGTCATTCGCCTTGAGGGGAGCAACAAGTTCAAAACCCTCAAAGCTACACCGACAGTTGTGTAATTGGGTCTAATTCACTGAGCGTTGGGAATGTGTGGTTGTCCGAGCATCTGGGAATAACAATGTAAAAAATGGACATGCAGGGCTCTGACAGAGGAGAGGACGTAGAAGTTGAAAAGACAAGAAGAAGAATGCAAGTCATAGCACAACAATGAGAGGGAATCCGAAATAAAGTAAGAAGAGCGAGCAAAATAATCAGTTTGCTTCCTGCAGTCCAGCGTGTCGCCCTGAGGCTGCACACCACCAGGCAGGAGGTCAAAACTGGAAGCCTGCACCTCTGAGGCTTACACAATGCAGAGTGACAGAGAAAACATTGACGAAAATGCAATTGCTTAACAAGCACCGAATCTCTAAAATGCATAAATTACACACAATGAAGACAATTAACACTACACGACACGACACACACCCACATTAGCATAAATCATTCCAGAAATTCCGGATCATGAAACAATATGGTGCACGTGGTGTGAAGTGTTTGTGTGCGTGCGTGCGTTAGTATCCGTTAAAGGCTAGGGTGTGATTTTGTGTTTGCCCCTCCTGTGCCAATACCAAATTCTCAGGGGAGAAAAGTGCTCTGCTGACAATGCAAAATAGCAGAGGGTTGGCCTGTGGCTCTCTACCCAGCATGCATTTCTGCTTTCTGTTTACCTTATGTAATGTCAATAAAGAAGCAAAACGTGTCAATACAGAACACTCTGACCTCCTTAGTTTTAGTCTAATAACTCATTTTGAATATGGAAATGAGAAGGTGACTCATCAGTTTATTGTTTTTTTAAATGATCTTACCTCTCTGACGAGATGCTTCACAGGTCTCAGGCCTCCACCAACGCCCCACACATTATCTAGACGAACCATCTCCCTCTTCATGGTCAGCAGCACTTCGGCACGGTCTAAAGCCACTCTGGGGAGAAAAAACAACACCATAATATATTTCTTGCACTTAAATGGGCATTCAGTAAGTACATTCAGTCATTTTTTACTATGTTCAATCTGAATTTTCTTTAAAATAAAAAACATCTATATTGATTCTGACTTTTCTACATCCAACTCACAGGTTTATCATTACTTTGAGAAAAAAGATTATTAATTTAACCCTTTTAGAAGGGAAGATATGGTCATTTGTTCTGGGAATGTCATTTTCGAGCCTGAGACCTGAAAAACAGGCTCAGGGCTAAACAGGTTAAGTGAAAAGGAAGACGGGTTCCTCTTCAAAAAAAACTTTCCCAACACAGAGGAGGAGGAAATATGACACATTTTAGAACTGTCGCATAGAAGGTGGATTTCTTTAAAGGACTGTATCTGAATTTTTTGATTTGCCGTCTCGCCTCACCTGGCATGCTCGCAGTCCACTTTGCCCTTGTAAAAGTCCAGGAAAGACATGGGGAGGACGTGGTCTGCTATGGCTCTTGCTACAAACTGCCCTAACATCTGAGAGACATTAAAGAAAAAAACATCAGAATGCAACTCCACATGACATATGCTTTGTTACAGCACTATGACACAATATAAACACCTACCTGTGGAGCCTCTGGTGTGTCCAGTATGAGGTCTGGCAGCTCTTTGAGGATCTTGTCGAAGGCACGGGCCATTTCACTTTGTGACAGCATCTTGCCTGACAGATCGGACAGCAGGCGGGAGGTCAGCTCTCTGTGGCTGGCTTTGCCCTCCAGGGACAGGGACACGGCCAGGGAGGAAAACTCGTACTTATGTGAGCCCAGGTTGAGCCCCTTCAGCAACATCTGATAGAGAGAGGACGAATAACAGAATTAGAATCCCTTTATTCGTCCCACAGAGGGGACATTTGCATTTGTTACAGCAACAAAAGAGCTAAAGACAGCTTAATATTAACTTGACATTAAGGTCAATTGTCAATGAATGAAGTTTGAATAAGTTAAAATGTAATGTAGTCACAGAACCATATAGTCTCTGATCAGTACTGATGTAATCTTTCTATACATGTTCTACATCATTGGGTTAATCCGTCCAAACCTGATCATTGGTGGTCAGCAGTGAGAGGAAGAGGAAATGCTTCATTTGAAAATATTTACCTGGACCTCTTTCGTGTCTCCGTGTTCAAAGTACTCCTGTACAATCGGGTTCACCATTTTCTCCAGTTCCTTCTCATCTATTTCTGGCACAACTGTTGCGTAAACGGTGTCCCCCTGTGGAAGTATAAACATATCATCAGTCCATCCGTGCACACATGTATGCACAACGAAGTGGATGTGCATTCAGTATTACAAGCCGTCAGTTATCCAAAAAAACAGGTATGTTAAATGTTCACTATCAAGGTTTCATTGCAAGTTTTCATGTGCAATGCAAGTCTAAAAAAAGCTATACCAACAACCATTAAATAGATAGTGCTTTCTGTCCCCATGCTATCCCGAGGTGGTGATATAACATAAGCCTCTCTTTCATCTCAACTGTTTGCATTAGTGTCAAAACCCGTCCAACTTCCCTTTCAGGTTGTGTTTCTTTTAACAGGAAGAACAATTAATCATTGATAAAATAATGAGATTAGCATCGATTGAATACATTCAACAACAACAACAAAAGCCTACAAATGATAATAAAACTAGAAAAACATTTAAGCTGGCTCTGATTTGTCCTGTCAAACTTGACCATAAAAACTAATCACTGCATTGCTCCTGTGGGGATTGTCCACAGTATTGAGTATGTAAGTCGCTTTGGATAAAAGCGTCTAACAAGTAACATGTAATGTAATGTAATTGTTTTGACCTGTACTGATAAGACCAAGTTTATAGAACAGGAAAAGAAGGATTGTAGCTAAATGTCCAAAACGCTGATTCACTTTCCGGTTGTATAAGCTGTTGCCTAAAAACAATGTGGACTGTAGAAGGGGATGTGAGAGAAAACAATAGTTTATGGCCGAGTACAGGCAAAACTGAACCTGTATTTTACACGTCTTCAACATGGAGGCCTGATACTTTAAGGCATAATCAAAGAAGAGGAAAGGCGGCATGCTTTAGTTTCCACTACATTGCCCGATTTTATTCTTAATACTTTTTTTTTTTTTTGGGCCTTTTCCCACGTACAGGATGACCGGCAGTGGCTCAGTCAGTAGGGGCTTGGACTGTGAGCCGTAGGGTCGCCGGTTCAAGTCCCCGACCAGACCTAAAATATGGAGTGTGGACTTCTACTTGGAGAGGTCCCAGTTCACCTCCTGCCCTGCTGTGGTGCCCTTGAGCAAGGCACCGGACATCCCCCTTCCCCCCCCTCACTCCCCGGGCGCTGTACAATAGCTGCCCACTGCTCCTAGTACTAGACTCCTGGTACTAGGATGGGTTAAAAGTAGAGAACAAATTTCACTGTGTGTGTGCTGTGTGCTCTGCATGTGTGACCATTAAAGAGGGTTTCATCCCTCCCAATTCTATTCTATTCTATTCTACCTGTGAGTCGAGAAATCCATCAGCTGACCCCCTCAGTCTGGTTCAAAGGGCACCGTCTGCAAATCAACTCCGTCCCCGTTCCCTTTTTAAAAATCACTTTCTTTCCACAGCCCTCCTACTACGTTCAAAGCCAAATCAAACAGGCTTTACTGGGCTGTTCCCAAAACTGTTATCATTTTTTTTTCTGACAGAAGGTCCGTTCCCACCCTGAATTAAGTCGGTGTGACCTGAGCCTGGGGCAAACTAACTCAAAAATAATGTTGATTGTGAAGCAATGGAGCCACCTGGATGAAACAATCCTGTGTGTTTAAAAAAAGGTATTGGCCAAATCATATAGACTGTAATGTAGAGTCGCATTTCCCAATTGATTCATACTCTTTGATCATATGCCATCCAAGTGATCGATGCATTGTGTAACTCAGAGATGCAAGAGAGCATGTGCATGTTTTATGAGAGTGTACGCTCATTATCTTGTTCGCAGAGCAAAGCCTCTTTTATATTCAGCGTGTTTGAGCAGCAGCTCCTCAACATCAGCATGTTTGTTTGACACAAGAAATAAAAGGTGTCAGCTCTGATCACCGGGCCTCTTTGGAACAAAAAGCTGCTCGGCACAACAGGTCAGCCCATCAACAACTGAGATAAACTATCCTCTGCTCTTTCATCAGCAGCAAAAACAGATGAGAGTGTGTGTGTACAGACTGCTGACAGTCAGGTAAAGGAAACATTTTGGATCAACCTCAAACGTGCAAAAGAAAGAACACATTTCCCTTTATCTTAGTTGTTTTTCCAGGTCAAATTGTCAAGTATCTGTGGCCAATGTTTTTAGGTTGAACATTTTAAAGATTGCAATTTGAATCAATGATAGAAAGAAATCCGACTGGTTTCAGCCCTCGTTTAAAGGTGGGGTAGGTAAGTTTGGAGAAACCGGCTCGAGTGCGCTAGAATTTGAAAATACACAACCGGAAAAAATCTGCCACTTCCTTACAGAGCCCCTCCTCCAACACACACGAACGCGCACATGACCAATGAGGGCACGAGATAAGTTTGTGCACAGATGGAAGGCTGACAGGCAGGTAGGCCATCCAGTTATTTTAGCCGGGCCGGCTAAAATGATTGGTCATGCTTTTTACAGTACTACGGCTTCCACAGATTACATTTTTTTTATGGATTTTTTGTCAAAGCACTTAAGATATTCATTGCTATCGGGATGTTAAGAGCATTCCATGGAATATAACAAAAAGTGTATCTCGAGCCGGTTTCTCAAACTTACCTACCCCACCTTTAATTGTTGATAAATGTAAGTATTGTATTTACTCACAGACAGCTAAGAGGAAATAATGTGTAATGACAATTTGTTATGTTATAAGCACAAAACCTGGGGCACATTGGAGACCCCAATTCAAGTCCTGCCTGCATCATTTTTCATTTCCCTTCTTCTCATTTCCTGTCATCTCTCTACTGCCATACATGTCTCTAAAGACATACAATGCCCCCCCAAAGAAAAACAAATATTTAATCAACAAAATGTAATTAAAAAAAGCACAGAAATCAAGCTTTGTGTGAGAGTCTAAACTCTTTAACATTAATTTGATGAAAGATCCAGATCTGCTGTACTCGCTTACCTGAGAAGACTCATCGTAGTTTGGGTCTCGCATATCAGGCTCCTCGTCTTCATAAACCATCCCTGCGGCCCCCCACACTCCTTTACCTCCTGCCCCACCTGTAGACACACAAACCATAAACACATGCTCAGCATTATGATGAAATGATAAAGCCATTGGCTGCAGGGAATGAAAAGTGGATCATGCAACAGTTTTCCAACCAACATTATTGCTACTGTCAACAATCAGCACATGTGCAAAAAATATATTCTATTGTCTGTCGTTTGGTTTAGGTTACATAACCGGTCCGCGGTTTATTTACACTAAAAAATTCTGTACATGTTTTGTTTTTACAAGAAAAAGGGGAGCACATGTCTTAACCGCTGCTCTATAAAGTTTATATATAACACAACACCTCTTCTATGCTACTATAACATGGCTGTGAGTGTAGCTCAAATGTACCTTTTTTTGGCAGCCCTCTTCCTTTGCCGGCCCTGGATTTGCGGTCGCTGACGATGATTTTGCCCTTCGGACTGTTAGGGTCACCTCCTGAAGTTTCTCCCGATTCGGAGAAGGACTCGCTGGTGGAGTTGCGGGATGACTTGCGCAGGCGGCGCTTGGCTTTGGCTTTAAGTCGCGCCTCGTGGAGCGCTTTCTCCTGAGGGGTCCAGTTCCCGTTCACCTCCGCCTCATTCAGCAACTCATCGTCAACCGTGTAGGGACAGTTCGCCTGGGCCAGGTTGTCTTCGAAAGAGAACACCCCTGTGGTCAGAAAAGGGTTTATATGGTTTATATTTTGCCAAATGAGACGATAACACCAAAGCAAACAACGTTGTCATTCTACTGCCATAATAACATTATTGGGCAGTTAAGTAGACCATCTTGCGTAAATTATGTGGACACAATAGTAACAGTTTGGGGAAGCCTTTACCGAGACAATGTCACAGTGCACATTGTTACAGAAGTTATTGTAGGTCTCAAGACCTCATTCATGCTCTTGTGACTGAATGGAGCAAATCACTGCAGGTCACACTCTTTTGGATTCAGGTGTATGCATGTTAAATCGTATTACAGTGGATACATTTCAGATGCTATATTTTTACAAATGTTGTCAAACACTTTACGAGAGTAAATCTGAGGCTGGCTACAAGCCTAACATTAATGCTTACTACCAACACATTTCTGCCATTTTTGTAAAAAGACAAAGTTATGTTCTGCATGTTGTTGCTGTACTTATCCTTATCTCATGACAATAGCGAGACATATTTTCTTATGTATGGCTATTGTAGGTAAAAAGAAAACTGCACCAACACCTTTACACCACAGCAACACCAAAGCTTTCTGGCTATGTGCCCTACAGCCAGCTCCATATGTCAGGGCCATGTTGTGCGTATCAAGCCAAAGGTCATGTAACACTCAAAAGATTACACAAGAGGATCAGCAGCAGATACGTTTATAGACAGTCTTTAACACCTAGCAGCAGATGTTAAAATGTAGGTGTGATATTTAGTATCAAGTTACTTTATATACTATTCTGTATTGATGAAAATATTGTATATAATAACAAAATATGGCCTCTACTAGGTATGGGACGACAACAACATGTGCGACTGGAGTTTTACTGCAGGCCTGGGGGGAGGGTGGGACCAAACGGGAACACATGCCTGAGAAATGCTGACACGGCTGTTTGACTTTTTTCCTACTCTGTCTTCTCGCGATCTGTCCGCGGCTGCTAGAGTGGACCTGACTACATATGGCATGTTTTGGGCCATGGCTGGTCACATGACCAGGCGGTAGTACATAAACAGAGCAGGAGGAGGAGGAGGAACGTCTGAGGGTGTAATGAATACTTGCAGTCCTTGTGCAAGGGACCATGTGTCAATTTGAGTTATGGCCCTATATATTACAGGTCATGTATAAAACACGAGGAGGAACATTTCCAGAGCCAAAGTAAAACTAACTACCTAAAAAAGCTGTCTGTATTCCGCAAAAAGTACCAAATGGTTTTACCTTGGGTAATTATAATACTTCTGGCAAAGGAAAAAACGATTAACTTGCCACCTTCTTTATAAAAGAAACATTTCAAAATGACCTTGAATGTTTTTCTTTGAGTTTGAATAACAAATGAAAGGAAGCCCCTTTGTGCAAAGCAGGACCCCTCCTTTAATTAACCTGTTGCAGTAAGAGCAGCACCACACCCTGGACTTTAGAAACTGTAAACAGCCGGCCATGTGTCATGTCCTCCTCCTGTTCTTCCCTCATGTTTGCCACAAGGCCTGCCAGCGCACTAAATTGGAAACGTACCAAGGGCAACGAACCAAATTACCAACCAGCCAATTGGAAAAGAGCAGAAAAGTAGGAAGGCAGAAAAGTCAGAGCTGTCTTCTAAGAACGAGAGTTGCTAAACGAGAAAGGAAAGAAATGCAGACGAGCTGAATTCATTGTTAAACTCTGCAGAGATCATGTGACTTCAGAAAGGTTCTGGTGTAAAGGTTTAATCTATACTGTCTCATAAAGCTGCAGCAACAAACGCAGCTGTCTTAAAGCCTTGAAGACTCCCAGAGCACAACCAAATTATACCAAACCACACAATGCTGTCATGGTGGTTTTCAAAACCACCCCCACATGTAACCAGTTTTTAAACCCAGGCGGATGCAGGCCAGCAGAAGACCTCTGCACTACATGTTGAGTAGAAGCTGTCCACAGCCATGTGGTTAGTTTTAGGTCTCCATAGAGAAGCAGGGGTCATGAATGAGAGGGTCAGTGGAGCACAATTCCTCCATGAACAGTCCTAGGTACACTGACAGTTAATTTAACTATAATTAGGAAGTATTGCAATTTAGGTGAAACTGTCAAATTCTGCACTATTTAACCCCCCCTGCTCAAAAACATGTCATACTAGTATGCGCAGAATGATGCATTTTCAAGGTTTAACACAAGAAGGCTGTGCATACTTCTCTCTCAACGAGGAATGTTGTTTTTTGTTTACATTAGGCATATACATACGGGCATGATTTATGGAAAGTGTTCCCAGCAGGCACATTTTTGTGATGAGCATTTGCATATTCAGAAATTACAGATTTTATAATTATGTTTTCTAGTAGTAACTAAGTTATCAAGTTTTTTTTAGATTGAACTAAATCAGAGGATCTGAACACATTTTGAAAAGGACAGCAACTAATGCAACTTAAAGCCTACTAAACTGACTCACTTGTTGTATTCATTTCTGTGAATTGTAACTTGTGACCACCAGCAGTTTACGCAATATATATATATATATATATATATATATATATATATATATATATTATATATATATATATATATATATATATATATATATATATATATATATATATATATATATATATATATATATTTTGTATGACTTTGTACAAATTATTTATAGTTAGAAGGTACGCAGTTGGTGATTTAATCTGCACAAACCAAATAACTAAAAACGCATGTTTGCTAGGCTTTATGTTTTCGAAAATCTACTTAAAAGTTGATCCTCTGTCCACCTACGCTCAGAAAATACATGCCTTGCACTCTCTAAGGTCAAACAACTATCTGCACAACAAAATAGGGGACAAAAAAAAACTGCCCTACTGTATAATGTCCTTTAGTGTGTTTATCTATCAAGGGAGAAAGGGTGTGGACGTCTTGGGGGTTTAACGGTCATTTCATTTAATGAAAGGGGAAGAATTTTACAAAAACATGTTTTAGAGACATCATGTAAACGTTGTGTGCCAAGGTGATTCATGTTTAAATAAACAACAGCAGGGGAAGTGCCACACACGCTCCAAAAGTTATAAAAATACAAGGGTTGCCACTCGTGAAACACGGTAATGTTTTATTTATGCAGGAAGGGAAAAATGAACAACTAAATTTAATGTAAAGTTGTGCTGTTTCGCTGACTGTACTTTTTTGAGTCCCCCTCTGTAATGGCTAAGCAACAACAGAGACAAAGTGCATGCTCAGGGAGGTGCATAAAAGATTAGAGCTACTTAGATAAACGGTTAATAGGCTAATTACATGCTTTTTTTTTTTTTTAATCAGACAATCACATCTGCACAGTACATCTCTACTTTGCACCGGTTGTTTTCTCAGCTTCAAAACTGAACATCTTGTGCAAGCGGATGGTGTGAAAACATGTTTTCATGAATGTATGTGGGGGAAAGAGGAGGTGGTAACAAAAGAAGAGGGGTAAGACAACTAAATATGTACTCGGCAGGACAGGAAGAAATCTGGTCTGACATGTATGGCTGTGGGTTTCTATAGGATGCTTGTTACTCAAGTATTTACCCAAGAAGTTAGTGAAATGAATAAAATAAATTCAGAGTCACATAGTGTACAAAGACACATTATGGCAAAACCTCACAACTCTCATAAATGCAAGTATTCATGGAGAGATGGGCACTATCAATAATCTGTTTATATTAAAAAAGAATCTCTAATTTACGAGGAAAAAAACCGACATTCTAAGCCAGGATGACCGATCATTTGGGAATATACGTGTTGGATCAGACTGTGCTATAAAGGTTAACATGGTAAAGACTGTTGTGCTACTTCATTGACCCACATGTGTTGGGGGAGTTGTTTTCCCAGCACAGACAATAGAGTCATTGACAGTCTGCATGACCACCTCATCAACAGTGGCTGCTCAATCAAGCGTGGCCGACCTTCCTTGAGAAAAAGGCAACCAAGTTCATGCAGAAAAGCCCATCTGTGCCCTGGAGCACCGGCTGCTTTCTCACACACTAACATAACACACCAGTAACAAACCGTGTGGTTTCTCACATGCAACAATTTACCTCCGTGGAACCTTGAGTGTGTGTGAGAGTGTAACACAAATATAGGAATTATTGTGCAGAGGTGTGAGAAGTACTCAGATCTTGTACTTGAGTTAAAGTAGAAGTACCATAGTGTAGGAAAATTCCTGCATTCAAAATGTTACTCAAGTAAAGTACAAAAGTATAAGCATCTAATTAAATAAAAGGTACAAAATAAATGTATGAAGTGGAGTAAAAGTATACCATTAACCTCTGAATTGTAGAGGGGTAGAAGTACAAAGTAGCATACAATAGTATCTCGAAATTGTACTTAAGTACAGTACATGAGTACATGTACTTAGTTACTTCCCACCTCTGTTAATGTGTGAAACCACTCACACATAACTTACAGTGCTAACAATACTACTACTTATGTAAGTCTTAAATACACAGCAGGGGATGATAAATTATGTAAGGCTTTCCTATTGGCTCATATAGTAGGCTATACATGTCGACGTCATCGCCAGTCTGAGAGGAAAAAAAACACGGGATCCAGTGTACCATAAGTGAGATATCAAAGATTATTGAGAAGATATCACACATTACTCAGACAATGTGGAGAAATGACTCGTTAATTATCGTTGCTGCTCAGATTGTGCTTCATGTTGTTGATTTTTATACCCATAAAACGTCGTGTTCTTTAAGCATTTCCTTGTAAAAATATGTCTGTTAATGCAAGAAAGGGGCGTGCATCGTTGTACGCTCCGATAATGGGTCTAAATCTAAAAAGGGCTAACACAAAAGGTGTTGACACACAAGTAGGTGATTAAGGAACCGTATATATTTCATATATACTCTCAAGGGAGACTAAAATCAGGAACCAAAACAGCTAAGTGTAACTCATGCATGTAGTCTTTTAACGTCAAAAACACGCAGCAGAAAAACAGCCTCTGTATATCAAAATGCACTCAGCAGCAGCGCTAGTGTGTGCAAACAACGACTTGTCAACGCGGAAGTAAGCATGGTGTCCTCGTCCAATCAGAAACACGAAACGGTTAAATGCACAAGCAGTTCAACAACAACACCGTAACAAAGCACCGTTTAAAAAAAAAAAAAAAAGGGTAACGTGTTTGGGTCTATTTGCAGCGTGAATCAAACAAAGCTGCGTCAGTGTGCAGTGACTGTTGCAGTGCTCTGTGCGTGTGTGCGTGTGCGTGTGTGTGTTCTTAACAGAGCACATGGTGGAGTATGGCTGGTGTTGCAGCCCATCCCATACAGGACAATGGATTAGGCAGAGCACGCCAGCAGGCCCGTCCGTGGCTCATTGACACTTTGCACCGATGAACCACACACAGCCAGCCCGGGTTCAGTTACTCACCGTCGGCTTTAGGAGCAGAGGACCACGTATCCACTTCGGTCGCCATGGCGCTCTCCAAATGCTCGATTAAAAAACCTCACGGGGAGCTTCTCCAAAAAAAGCAGCAAGCCTCACGTCTGCAGAACAATATATTAAGTACAGAACTGTCTTCGACAAATGGCAGGTGCTGAAGAACACAAACTGAAAGCCTGGTCGCTTTTTGTGTCGTGTTGCACGGTGTGAGCTGCAGAAATCAGAAAAAAAACAATGAGATTTAATTACATAGGATAGCAGAATTTCGAAATTATAAGGCAGCGAAATAAAAAGAGCTTTTCACGCTCTTCTCAGCGTTTACGGCTGGGAAGAGTAGAATAACGTGGCTTTGAAGTAGGTTCTAGTCTGAGAGCATTTCAGCTAACAACCTGCAAGATAAACAAAGTCTGTTTTTAACTTTGCAAGAGAGAGCCGAGGGGGTCACGTGAACACAACGCGGATGGGGAGTGGTCAGAAAAGGGGGTGGGTGCTGGTCCTCTCCGACCAATCACAGAGCAGGAAGAAACACGTCCACTGTAATGTACACAATAACAACATATAGCCTAATGCTTATTTGCCTGAATTACCTTATTACAAGGACAAACAGCAACGATTAAGTCTTTATTGCATTAAGCTCATATAGTTCTTTATATAGATATATTTTATAGTTTTTGTTTTGGCACGTCAATGAGGTATTTTATATCTAATTGACTATTCTCATATGTATCTCCTTATTTCCAAGCTGGGATGTGGTTGTTGTACGTAGGCTTTTTTTAAACAGAGATTTAACTAATACTTGTTTATTGTATCAAGTGCAGTTTTACATAATATTTACCAGTACAGGACTTCTGTATTTGTTGTTGTGCTTCATTCCCAGTATAGTATTTTCCAAGGAAGTCAAACACTGCCCACAAATACTTGAAAAGGGGAAGAAAAAAAACTACAGGAATAATTCATGATGTAATAGAGTAATAAAGGTACTTGCTGCACATAAAAACATCTTATTAATCACATTGGAGGTGTTTTTGTCTTCCAAATTCACACCACCAGATGGAGCTACATTTGGTTGAGGGCCTATCAGCGTTTAGGAGCCAATAGCAAATTAGCAGGCAACTATAGTTTGACTTAAAAATCTGCAAATGTATAAAGCTCATATACATTTGGAGGCACTATTGCTTCACTAGATATCAGATGCTTTTGTACCCTCCACAGGAGCTACTGGGCCTCCTCTCATCTGCCTCAGAATATGAGTATCTATGATGAGAGAGTTAAGACACAACAGTATCAGGCTTGTAAGAAAATGCCTCAAAAAGTGTCCAATAGTTCCATATTAAACCCCTGTTTTTTCCACTTTCTTTGCAACTGTGCGGTGGTTAAATGCAACCCATGCGGTGGTTAAATACATATGCATTTGGGAATAAAAACATGAAAGATAGACTGCTAAATGAAGGTCATGCAAAGCAGACCAATAATATGTAATATGATATACATTTAATTCTGGAGCATTTGTGCCCAGAATGAAATGTGCTCCCCTATGGTTTGGGCAGTTTTTGCCTAGTAATACAGCCTTGGTAATAATAACTCGTTTTTCTAGTGGGACACAAAGGTTTTGGACTTCATCTCATCTCATCAGGGGGAGAAGAGCAATGCAAACACACAGGTCTTGTCTATGCATATGGCAGTATTTCATATATTACAACTATGTCTAGCAACAAGGGACTGCAGATGTTCTCACACTGCATGTTGCATTTGACATCTCTGATAAATAATGCTGCCTGCAACACACGATCACACATTTGAAACACTTTTTTTTCTTGTAGTTACTCCTGAAAAGAGGATTTTTTTCCATGTAAGTGCAGCTTGATGATTCATCCTGAGTCACAGGGACAGCCACTCATGAGTGGGTGTTTGTAGCTCTTCCCTGCTGAAATAAGTTCAGTGCATTTGCTTTTTTTTCAAAGCAGAGTACAGCTTGTACCTCAGGCAACTACAACTAGAGATGTGTATGTTTACAAAAACCACAGACATGCATTTGGTAGCATTTTGAAGCTTTTATTTTGACACAAAATCCACAGTTTTGCTGAATAAAGTAACGCAGATTTCTGTGTTCAACAAGGTAGAATCCCAATGAGCATCAATTGAAAAACCTCGAATTGAAGGAAATTAAATACTGCGCTTTCTGGGGAAAAACAGCACCAGGACATGTGCAACCAAACAAATAGATATGAGAGAATCTGCTAGTTTTGATTTTACATCAGAGTAAGCATCAGAAATCTCTATGCTATACACCAAGATACAAAATCAACTTGATATTCATGATGACATAAACATGTTTGGATATTTATATTGACATGTTAACAAATACCAGCAACAATCGACTTTGGCCTCATAATAAGCAACGATGATTTAAACAGCACAACAACACGGCCGACGATAACTCTCTCACACATGCGTACACTGAAGAGCCGCAGGTAGAATTGCACAAGGATACCCTCAAAGAACACCACATGTTGTAGCAATATTTATCTGAACTAATCCACATACAATCACATAAAGATACTTCTAAAAATCCTGCTGTCTTGTAGCTGCAGGGGTAAAAGGGGAGAACACTTTCCCGGGGGCAAACATTCTTGAGTAATCCTGAATGAACAGGGACTGATATTTAGTTTTTTCCTGGCAAAACAGCACTTCAGCCGTACCAACATGAGCTCTTCAATTTCAATTTTTCAATTCTCGGCATCACAAAATAAAGTCAGTACAAATATAGAGTAAATACTATCTTGATAAGTTTAAGTAAACAGTCCTTTGCAGTCAAAACTCAGCGAGGTAACAGTCTTATATCAGGCCTTGGCCTTCAGTGGCAATGAGGGTAGAGTTTGGGCGTTTTGTCTGTGCATACTAGCTGCTGACAAGGTAAATAAATCAAACTAGTTCTATATACACTGAACTCAGTTCAGTTTGGCTTCAACGTCAAATCAGAGCTGGGGTCCAAGTAGCCTCTGGTTGGGCCCTTTTTGCTTACAATTACATTTGAGACACAGAGCTAAACATCCGTTTGAAAATAATTAATAATAATAAGTCCATCAAGTCATTTAACAACACAACAACACTGATCAAAATCAATGAAGGATGCCTTTATCAATCTGGATAAAACGATTTTGTACAATAAAAGGTTATTTTCCTTCTAATCTTTTATAATTTTCACAACAGAATATTTCATCGTTTGGTTGTGCTATGTAAAATTGACACTCACAAATCGTCATAAAGGAGAATTGGGACACACCTTCCTTGATTTTCTTTGCTGACTTCACCTCTTTGGGCTCTAAATAAACAAGATGTTGCATATGGGCCACGGCCAAATAAATGCAATATTATATATGAAAAATAGAAAAAATAGAAAGTAACATTAATATAGAAAATGTAACAGCTAAAAAAACATGTGAATATTGGTCCACGTTCACACATGAAGCAAGGGGATACATTATTTGCAGCTGCCGTATTTGTGTGGAAAAGGAAAAAAGACTTGAATTTGAGAAATGCCTTCAAACCTTTATCTAATCTTTTGGGACTCTGGAAATAACGTCATAAAATGTATTTTTAAGAAACACAGCTCCGTGACCCAAAAATAATGACAATACATGACAGGCACAACTGGGCCTATGTAAAACCAGATCATCTGAGTTTGCACTTGGGAGAAACCTTAAGCCAAGGCATTCAAATGCAGAGTCATGTACAATCACAGGCCTCTGCCCAGCACAGCTCACGGATCAGTAATAAAGAGGTAAATGTCTTTTTCACAACAGTTAATTTCCTATCAACCAGCATTAACTAGAGTAAGGAAAAAAGTGTGAATACTATTGCTAAATACTATTTTTGCAAGTCTCACATGTACTGCGTACTGTGTATTTTATAAAGAGACCGCTAAGCACTGCTAGAAAACGTTTGCCCATTTGATGTACGACTTTACAATTTACATAAAACACATATACACTCGCATAGCAGCAGTAAACTATATCAATGCCTTACAGAAAGTCTATTTTCATCTAGGCACCATATACTTTGATAAACGCACATTAAACTTATCACAAAATAAAAAAATTCCCGACTATATAGCCGAAACATTTACCATAGCCGCCAGAAATATTTCATATTGAAATGTTCAGAGGGGGAACAGTCTCAGTCAGACCATCCTTCACCTCCGAGTCATCACAGGAGAGCTTTCAGCAGAGATGATCAGAGGATGTTAAAATGACCTTCATAACAAACCAAAACATCCTTAGACTCCATATACAAACAAGATCTGTCTGTGACAAATAAAAGGTAATATTGAGCCTAACCCAGGCAATGTTTTCACTCCGTAGAACTATAAATGAGTTGAAAGCTTTGCCTTCAACTTTAGACATTTAAGGTGGCTTTGCACTGAGCCAAGGACACAATGAAGTGGCGTCTAGTCATTGAACTACAGACACATTTGTCTCATATTGACAAACACGACAAGACAAACACGTACAAAAATGTGATGGGAGACATTCTCACTCACCATGCTTTAGTACACTTTGCACTGAGAATTAATTACAAGAGTACATTTGTGCTATTCCCACTGCTAAAAGCATCCAATTTCACACAATCCTATCAAGTAAGAGCATCTACCACAAGTTTCTACCTCACAGTGAGGCTATTCTCTACACACTGTGCAACTGACGGATGATTTTACATACAAAAAAGGATCAGCCAGGTTACATTAAGAGAAAAGAAGTCCAACTCTCAGAAGTGACCACCTTTTAGCCACAGAAAATAAAGAGGCATTACTCTGACTTTAAACCCTTTACCTCGTACATTTACACCTTCGATATCTCACAATCATTTCTTGCCTCAGACAGACATTACAATCGGCACTTTATTTCAAACCCCACACCTGGCAGATTGTATTGCCTTGCTGCAGTTTTGGACACTTTTCCAGAGGTTTTTCAGTCAAGCTGCATTCTATAAAAATTATCAGTAAACAATTTAAATGTTCCTTTTTGTTGCGATGCATAACCTTTTACATTCAATAACAGTGAGGAGACTAGGCTTAAAGTTTCTGCCTCGTAAAAACCAAACAGTCCGCCCATGGAGGAATCAGATTTATGTTGCCTTGCAAAAAAATGGCAACGACCAACCAGGAAAACGTGTTCAACAACATTAAATCCAAAGTCAAACAGTCAGTTCATTATACAGTATAATCATGTAACAGTCTGAAACAACAATATAATACCATTGTAAAGCTTTGCCACCCACAAGATATAATTAAAGGTGGGGTAGGTAAGTTTGAGAAACCAGCTCGAGATACACCTTTTGTTATATTCCATGGAATGCTCTTAACATCCCGATAGCAATGAATATCTTAAGTGCTTTGACAAAAAATCCATTAAAAAATGTCATCTGTGGAAATTGTAATACTGTAAAAAGCACGACCAATCATTTTTGCCGGCCCGGCTAAAATAACTGGATGGCCTACCTGTCTGTCAGCTTTCCATCTGTGCACAAACTTATCTCGTGCCCTCATTGGTCATGTGCGCGTTCGTGTGTCTTGGAGGAGGGGCTCTGTAAGGAAGTGGCAGATTTCTTCCGGCTGTGTATTTTCAAATTCTAGCGCACTCGAGCTGGTTTCTCCAAAATGACCTACCCCACCTTTAAAGTTGGCACCCCTTTCCTATTGGGAGCAACATAAGACACAATGTATAAAAACACACACTTCACAATTCAGTCATAATGGTTCCCTTCTTATTTCCTCTAAAACAGAGGGAAGTAGGCTGGTGAAAGCAAATAAAATCACCCTACAACTAAAAGGGTCACTATATTTCACCACATACCTCGAACTATTCAATAGTTGTGAACCTCCTTCAAAGATAGGATCCAGTGAATTAAGATTATATAACAGGATCAAGAGACACAATAAATTAGAGCTGCTCTTTTGAAAATAATTTGTTGAGTGACTTAACTTCATAAACTTCTAGAATATAATTTGTCCTCAATTTAAAACAATGTGAGTTGATGATAGCCAGTCTTCTTCAGCGGTTCCCAACCGTGGTGTGTGTGACCCTTTAAAATAAAACAATATTAATGTGTGGACCCCTCATACACCAAGACTTTTAAAGCAGGCCCTTTAAAAGATAGATTTTCGCCTCTCAATTGTTTTATTGAACAACTTTGAAGTGCACAAAAAACTGTTAATAGTTTCACATAAAAAAGATATTAGATAAAGCATTATGTCATTTTTTCTTTATCATAACAATATGTTTCTACTTTCTTACACGATTAGTCGTCAAGACACCTCGAGTTATCTGGAGACGTCTTGAGGGGTCCTCCTGACCACCAGGCTGGGAACCACTGACTATTAGGCATGTCGTTTCTATGGAGCTAAACGTTAAACAGTAAAGGGACATAGAGATAGGACACTGAGCCACTAGTCAAAATGGAGATGGGGAAATAACTTCAGAGAATAAGATATGCCTTTTCCTAAACCATAAATAAATTAACTTAAAAAAAGGGTTTTCAGGTGTCGGCTTCTCTGGGAGTTTCTCATTTAAATACAGAGAAAACAAGAGGTTTCATTTCTCATCCCGTCTCCAACCATTAAAGTAAGACCTGCAAGACTTTTCTTCAGTGACTTTTCACCTACTAGTCTTGATCCATGAAGATGCTATCAAGCATTTTCATCACACTTCTTTCTCTTTTGGACCACATGACTGGCTGTCAGCTTACGAGGACTCCACAGTGATGATGGCCTCGCCCGTCTTCTGGAGGATTCTGCGGGATGAGGAGACGAGGCCTCGCTGTTCAGCGCAGTCTTCAGAAAGCGGCGAGTGAGCGGCAGCCCTCGCTCTCAGGGAGCAGTCCATGCTGTCGTGCAGCACGTCTGCCCTCTCCTCTTCCTGCAAAGCCTCTCTTCCTCCTTTCCAAAAATGCCCCTTCTGCAGTTCCTCCTCCTCTTGCTCTTCTCTCTTCACGTGACAACGACATACCTCGATGCCCGAGTCACCCGTTAGCCTGCGATGCCGGAAATGATCCTCCTCGTCCTCTTCTTCTTCCTCTTCCTCCTCTTCCCGTTTTTGCCCCTCTTTTTTGTTGATGTAATATGTTAAAACAGCCACATTTGAAGCGAAGAGAGCCGGTTTAGGGGGGGACAGAGCGGGTCTGGGGGGCGGACCACGAGGCAGGACCTCTTCTTCTCTGCTTCTCTGAATGGCTCCAAGTGGGTCTGAGAAGAGGAGAGGATGGACTTGACCAGGAGAGAGGGAGGATAACAGGATGAGGGGAGAAAGTGGCAGGCGAGAAGGGTGTGAAGGACGAGAGTGTAGAGGGAGAGAGAGAGCTGGCAGCGGGACCCCTTCACTGCCGTTAGGGGACCTTCTCTGCATGGGTATGACATCTGGGGCGGCGGCAGGGATGACATCAGGTGGAACTTGTGAAGGAGGTGTCGGGGAAGAAGTCGGAGTGAAGTTGGCCCCGAGCCTCGGCATGACGGCGCAGTCGCACCCTGCTTCACTGGGGGTGGAGAAGTGGCTGCTGTACGTCTCGTCTGTCACCTGGAGAGAGAAGGAGGTGCTGGAGGGGGAGGTGAGGGAGCACGACTCGCAGGAGCAGCTGGTGTAGTTGTCAGAGCTCTGGGAGGAAGTCAGGCCACTGGGACCGGGGCCGGGGCCCAGATAGGGAGGGCAGGGGTGATGGTGGTGGTGGTAATGAGGGTAGGAGGAGCTAGGACCCCCCATGGTTCCTCCCTGCAGGGCGAAGACGGAGCTGTAAGGCGGAGGAGGAGTGCAGGGCTGCGCCGCCACCTCCTCGTAGGAAGGCAACTTGAAGGATGCCAGAAAACCTGAGATGAAAGAAATGTCACACATCAGCTCAAATGTGAAGTGTGCCACAAGACTGGAGAGACAGTTTTGAATATGCATCTGACATAAATCACAGACACAACAACGAGTGTAACTTACTAACAAGTACTGCCTGTGGATCCATACCTCCTTAGTGACCAAAAACAATTTAAAACACACCAATGAGAAATATCTCACATGCTTCCTCATTAACATGGGCACAGTATTTTCTTTAGTCAATCCCACATAACTAACTCACCAACATTTTTTATATTAATTCCCAACTTTCGAGAAACAAGTTGTCGAACAAATGCACTATAAATAATATTGTTAGATGGTCATTTAGTAAAAACCAGTGGCCAGCTGCTCATCAAAATCAAATAGCTTTATGTTGTTCCAACTTTTCTTTGCAGCATTGATGTTAAAAGTCTCTGACTCTGCAGTTCCCCTGACAGCAGATCTACACCATCAAAAATAATGATAATATGAATAAAAGAACATGAATAAACCTACTGAGGTCAAGCATGGAGGAAGGGTAGTTGCTGGCTCCGTTGTAGGCGATCAGGTTGATCTCCCTCTGTCTCTGCTGCTGCTGGATCCTCAGCTTGGCTCGGCGGTGGCGGTAAGCACAGAAACAGCTGAAGAGGATCAGCATCGTCCACAGCAGCCAGAACCCTGCACACAACGGGAACCCAACAATAATCAAAGATCAATATGAACAGAACAAATCATCTGTTCTGTTGTTTGAAATTGCATCTCAGATCTATTCAAATAAGAGGCGACAATAATGGTGGTTTTGGATATTTTGTGCCATCACGTAAAAATCTTTTAAGTTTTACTTTACTACTGTAAACTTTGCAAAGAAAACCTTAAGATTTAAGAAGAATTTCCTTGCTTTGTTTGCATTCATTTGACCATGATATTTATAATTAATATGAATATTAAAAAAATGAACAATTCCTAAGTACATACCACTTAGAAATTAAGTGGTTTTAATCAGCTGGGGAGTGGAGCATAAATCCTCTGATGTCAACATACTTAACATCAAATTACTTAACCCCTAACTTTTTCTTTAAATCTCCAAATATTTGAAGCTGTGATCTGACCGTATGATCAGATTAAACTAGAGAGTGTTGCAACATGAAGCCCAACACTGTAGTTTGGTGCTTCCTTGTGTTTATTTCTTGAACCCTGAAAGCATTTTTAGATACAAGTTAAGATTAAACCAATGGCACCATAACAACAACGAAAGTTAATGTGAAGGGTGAAGGGAAAAGCTCAAAAGGGCCTATCAATTAGGTAAACCTAAATGTTTCATAATTGAGAACGTAACAGACATATATAGGTTAAATGTGTTATAGAAGACGATTATATCAATAAAAGTTCATCACTGCAAGACAGATTTTATTTTAAAACTGACTCATGGTGTCTGAATTCATTTGAAAATAAATTCATAACATTAAATGCACAACATCGCTTTTGATTTCCTGTCGGATTATTTAATTTACATTTTGTCTGGATATGCTGGTTTGATAAATCCATTCAATGCTCCATAAATCCAATTACCAGGTATATGTTGAAGAATGTAATGTAACTGTGAGTAAAATCTGATTGTTTTGTTTGCAGTTCACCCAACACATCCTGGCAGGACTGAATAATACACGTGACAGAGCGCAGCCTTGGCCTCATGACCTTGTTACAGTAACACAGTAGAGAAGTAAAGTCAGGTGACTCACACCAGAGTTCATAATAGTAGGTGCAGCAGCCCGTCTCTCCGCAGCAGTGCCCCGTCTCACACAGGTAGCCGGGGTTGTTGTTGACCCCTGGACAGTACTTGGGGCTGACACCAGGCTGGCTACCTGAGCCCCCGTGATGCTTCACCACCTAGTGGACAAAACAAAGCATCACATATCAACACAGAGAAAATTATGTTCCTGCAAAAGTTCAATAGTTGGTATGATTATAGTTTCCTTTTGAAAAGTATGAGCGCAGGGACCTTTCAATCCATGCAAATGTAATATGACTGTTGACCTGAAATCCGCTTTGTTTTTTTTCAAGGCTTTTAACCAGAAGATAAGGTCAGGACAGAACAGGAGGCCATTCACATCTTACACCATCTTTAAACGGACACAGGGGTTTCAATCTCACCTTTATATGACCACGTTATCGCCTAACCCAAATGTCCATACTTAAGTCAAATTATGACAATCAAGCCATCGTTGTGACTACTGAGAAAACTCCATCTCCTCATGAAGACCATGAGAGGGGGTTGAAAGAGGGTGGTTCTTCAAATCTGACTTTTATGTCCCAGGTGGCACAATAAGCTGTATATACTGACATATTATTGATAAACTGTGGCCGACATGTTAGAGTAACATTAGCATTTATTTCATGACTATGTTCACCTGATAAATAAGTCCAATACACACTATACTGTATCTGTATTATAGCTCTGTTTTGGGAAATATATGTCTCTTAAGTAGCTAAATGCTCGATTAGGTTCACAAGATAGTCACTAATTGTGTCTGTGCAGGTAGTGTACAGTGGCATCTTCAGTTTCACAAAGAAATACTTTGACTAGATGTCACAAATAGTCAGCCTTCAGATTATTTCTGGACTATGTTAAGCAAGACAACGGTACAATGAATTCTGAATAAAAAAGGACTTACCTAAAATATCTTTGTGATACTGGTCCCAGAGCTTTTTGATGAATAAAGCTGCCTGTGTTAGTTTGAAACTGTGTTGACATGAGCCTGATTTGACTATATGATTCTGTAATGCTTCATGGCTGATAATTCTCTATGGGCTGCTTGCTACAAGTGACCCCTTTCACGTTACACATTTAATTACATTTTGCATGGAAATATTAATTACTGCAGCTTTAAGATGGTGGCTACAGTTCGTGGTTTAATAAAAAAACACCTCACACCTTATTCACTGTGCGCATGTCAGGCTCCTTCTGGGAAACAGCCACCTAAAAAGAGAAATGGAAAGCCCTTTGTGAATTTACAGTAAACGTTACATCTTATTCATTAGCAGGTCAGTGCTAAAGAGAGAAGATCTGAAGCCATACTTTCAATATTATATTTTGGACACATCATAAAAAGCTGTCACATTTCAATACATGGCGAGAAGAGTCTAGAGGAGCTCAGATGCTACAGTAATAATGCTGCAAGAACAGGTTGCTATATCCGTTATGTACATAGTTACCACATATGAGGCTGAGAAGTGCTAACAAATAATTATTCTTTGCCATAGCAACCACTGTGGTTACGCTTGGAGGCTTTTTTTACTCATGTGTGGACAATGTTTTATATTATCTAGTGTATGAAATGTTTAGTTGTGGTTGAAGGTCACGCTCCCTACCGTAGCAGCTTCAGTCCCATCCAGGCCCTGCAGGGACATGGTCATCTGGAAAAAGGCAGAGAGACAATGGTTAAAAAGGAGCCAAACAGAGAGGAATAATATGATGTAAACGGCAAAGAAATATACAAAGTATGGCACTGTATGATTACCGACAAGGGCACAAACAACCCATTATATTGTGCTGTCATTCTAGTAATCAGGCATGAAAAAAAGGCCACTAAAAGCAGTTTCCATCCGCAGGTTACCCGACACTAGGCTCCTCAAGGAGCTGGGAAGGTCAATGGCTTTTTAACAAAACCTATTTCTCCTCTGTGGGCCGAGGTAGCAGACAGATGGCACCAATTCCCAGACACTCTCCCTTTCTCTTTCAAACACACACATACAATAGCTACAGCTCTAAAACTTTGACCATTCAAATTCAGCAATTAGTCTAAAATATGTCAGAAAATTGAGAAAAGCAGGCATTTTCAAGGCCCAAGGTGAAATGTTCAATTTGCAAAAACATATAGAGGCCCAAAGATATTCATGTATTTAAAAGCAAGAAAAACAAAAGACTTGATAAAAGCATGATAAATAAGTTATTAAAATGTTGATTGACAAAGCATTCCTACACTAAAATCAGTCACATACTGTATGAAGCATCTGGTCCTTTTAAAAGAGTATCAGTTTGCCTCGTGAGGGTATTTTTGACAGATGTAGCATCTCAGCCGGCAATGACACCTATCAAAAAATCACACAGGCTGACCTACCTTTAGGAAAACTAGTGAATAAACATATATTGGCTTGAGTCTGCATACTATCTACAAAGGAAATAAATACCATATGTGCATTCGCCCAGTGCAATTCGGTACATATTGAAAAAAGATCTGGGTCACCTCTGTCCACAGTGAGTAAAAGGATTGTATCCCTGTGTGTGTGCTGCTGGATGTGGGGCCGGGCCGCTGCCAGAAACAATGTGAGACAGTGGGGGCTGCAGCCATATCACTGATGCTTTTGTTAACAGCTGCCTGCTGATTATGTAGTCAGCATGGGGAACAATGTTGGCTGCAGAGAGTGTGTTCATGCACACATGCACACAAAGTGCCACAGGTTCTGAGTTACAACTATTGTCTATTTACAAAGTGCAAAATGAAACTGAGCCAAATGTGACACGCAGCTAACTCCACACACTACCCTGAGGCTGTTTAAATGACAATAGTAGCTGTTAGTTAGCCTAGAGACAATGACATTTGATCAAATATATCATATTCAACTGTTCATATGCATCAGCAACACCTGTGCATCTACAGGTTTACATGAAATGCATGACATAACATCGCATGACACTGGTGAAAGAGCAAGGACATGAAGGTGGAGCATGAGACAAACTGACAATGATGCTTCTGCAGGAAAGTGATGTGGATGCTGGCAGCGACATGTGACCATGAACACATGATGTTCACAGGCAGTGCATCTATAGCTGGGTACGATTTTCGATACTAGCAATACAGAATTTAGGTTTTTTACCTAAATACCATTTTGTTGATTTCTTTCTTTGAGAGATATACATTATGTTCTTTCAAACTAATAAACTTTGTAGCAATATAAGCCAAAGGGCTCCAAGCTGGTTGTACAAGCACTGACAATAACCTTCCTTCATGACATATTTTTAAAATTACGATTTAAACAACACACCATATGATCAAAGCATACAAACTTTGGATTGGCTACTTGGGGATTTTAAATATTCTGTGCTGCAGACACATTTTAGAGGATACCAAAAAAGTATTGAGGTCTGATAAATACCAGAGTTCAGGTTTATCAATGACATCCCTACTGACAATCAGCTGTTCAAGAAGAACTATTTTTTTGTATTAACTTTGCTAAAACTAATCATAGATAAATAAGATATCCTGCAAAATGTGTCTATCTGCGTAGGCCAGCAGAGAAGTCATGCTGCATATTTGCCTGTCAAACATAACCTCAGGAGGTTCATAAGTAAGCTTTTGTACAGTTATGCAAGTCAGAGTCAAGAGGGTAGGAGGGAGCGGAGTTCCTGTGGTAAATCCACCGCACGGCACAGAGTACACGCACACGGGTGTGAAGTGATCATTCAGACTTCCCCAGAGACCACAGACTCACCACAAATTATTTCCACCCCTGGGGTCCCAAGGTTTACCATAGTACCACCACACACACATACAAACCTTCACTAAATGACTTAAAACCTGTCAGCCTTTTCCTGACACCTGAAAACCCACAAATCATGAGTGAGGGGAGATCAAATGGAGAAGCACTGCTAAAGGCTGCAGGATATAAGAAAACATTCAAAGTTCTGTAAAATGGCCTTAAGTCAAGTCACAGTAAATTGTGAACATGCAAATAAGACACGCCATTACGTAATTTTGTCATGAACACGATGCCATGGATGTTGTATTATAAAGATGGCATGGAAATAAGATGCGATTAAGGTGAGGTAAAGACTTGTTGGACTTCAGTCAAACCATTTTAATCATCATGTTTTAAGATGTTCACTTTTATTGTCAGACTAAATTCAATAAAGATAACCACTGCACTCTTCCTTGGTGAAATCTTATGCTGAGGCAATACTGTACTTAATATTAACAATGACATTAAAGCAAGCATAACAAAATCTCCCCACAGGACTTTTATTGTCAGATGTTATCAATATGTTGTTATATGGCACACTGGCTTAACATACAGCAGATTTCTTGAAATCCTTCAAATAGATGTAAACCAATTAAGGTTTCATGTTGTTGTAATAAATACAGTTGTGTAAGCCTACAAGTTTTCCGACAACAACAGACTTGAAAGAAGGAAACATCATCCTCAGTGTGGAGCCAGGCCCAGCAGTGTCCTGATTCAGCATTGTGCTGTTCTTGTGCTGGACAAGCAGCTGTACATAGATTTATAAGGCTACAAGGGTTTGGCAGACAAAGCTCTTTCAATGACATGCATAAATTAAAAAGAAATCTTTGGTGCATTACGGCAGATTTAATATGCTATTCCGTTTGAAACAAGAAATTAACTTGAAATCTAACTGCGGTCTTAACAAGTTACAACCTGCTATTGAAATCATAAATATCCAACTCATAACTTTCCTATAGTTTTCCAAGAAAAAGTGCAATTCTGTGGTAGCTCTTAGTTTAGAGTTAATGACCTTACAGGACATTTTAGTACAGTATATCTGTCAGGACATCTGTTGTGCGTTAGAGGACCCATGCTTCTAAAAACCTATTATCCAATGTTATGCATTACCTAGAGCTCTCACAGTAAACCTTAACATTGAGCACCAACAACCAAATTAAAGCCATACCTGACAGACTTTACTGGAAACCAAACATTTGCTGCAGTGGTGCAAAAAAAATGCCCCCTTTGTCCTCGATACATGTCAACAGATAAAACATCTCAAGATGAAGAAATGAAAGACAGATGGTTACAGAACAAGTTGAGGCCACTGTTTGTCAACAACAACACAGACCTTGGAAAGCATGTTGCTCTGCAGAATAACTGAAGCCCAGCTGTTGGCAGTGTGTGTGCATCAAAGGAAATCTGTGCATTACCTCCTCAGCTTTCAGCCCGAGGCAGAATGTCAGCGTTTTCTCTGGATCCATGGCGAGAGCTGAATACCAAGCTAAACAGAGAAAATAGACACGCAGAAGTGGGATGTTATTCTGCTAAGCCCCCATCACTGCTGTCCCACTCCACAGACACGGTGGCTTCCCCATCCGCCATTACCCGGACGTGCGGACGGATGCCCCTCCCAGACTCCGCTGCACACGCCGGAGCACCAGGGCCAGATCCCAGGTGGGTTTTAAGGACGGGCCCGCGGGGTATCACAGTGCAGACGCTTGTGTCGTCGACTGTTGTTTGCAGTAGTGAAATAAAGATGTTTTACTCTTTGTTTTCGCAGGGAGGGACGGGGCTGTGCATGATGTCATGCTTCTCCAGCCCCCAAAGTACTTGTATGGCAGCGCTGCGGCTTTGATTGGCCGGAGCTCCCAGCAACAGCCGCACCGAGCAGCATCCACACTGTTGCTTTATTCACTTACTACCAAAACACCTGTGCGTTTCATATCGTAGTAAAACAGTAAAATAATAATGACAACACACTTAATTGATATTTTAAGCACATTTGGAAATGTTTCTGTTGTAGTGCCGAGAGAAGGGAGTCGGAAGCGGTGCATCGAAGGTGCAAATCTCACTTTATTGAGCAGCAGAAATCGACATGCTGTCGGGTCGCAGCCCGAGAAGGCAAGAGAAAGTGAAAGGGAGGACACACAGGGTGTTTCTCAATCGCGAGTACGCTTGCTTGGTAGCACATGTCTGCCGAGCATCTTGCTTCAGAAGCGAGTCAAGAATACTTCCTGACATTCGGAAAACAAAGAGTGGAACACGCTAGCAAGTGTGCAGGTGTGCGTCATATGAGAGGCCCTGCCTTACATCTTCCGCCACAGATTTGGGGAAATTGGTCCGTGCGCAAAGCATTGTGGGGATTTTAAGACCGCGAAGTCTACTCATGTGCACACTCGATATTTCTCCAAACGGAGTACGCCGGGCTCGGTAGATTTCCAAGTATACTGGAGATTGGAACAGTACTTCGGCGGCACTCGATGACGTAGTATGCTTGAAATAGTGGCTCTGAAGCAGCTTTACTCGCGATTGAGAAACACCCACAGTAGGTACACAGTAGGTACCGTCAACCAGTGACGTGCGGTGAGGTTCATGGCTGGTGAGGCACTGAGTCAGATTTACAAATATTATATTTTGACCTTAATCGAAATATTCTGTTATTTTCAAAAGCTTTTTTAGTCTGATGCTTCGATTCATTTTAAACAGACCGTTCAACAAAAGGATACCCAAAATCTAAATATTGGATTGTTCTTTCTTAGTAAGATCCCATTTTCATTACAGTTGTGGTCTTACCTTGACTTGAAGATGAAGTCCATGCTATCCTTCTGGACAACAATCTCTATTACTTTTTTGTAAAAGTCCTCCTTATCTTCCTGTAGTTTCAAAAGTCTAGTTTGTTGTTGCGTCTACCGTCTCTGCGTAGAATTACAGTAGCAACAAGAACCTGTGGGCTCACGTGCGCCCCCTTCAGTGCGGCAGAGGTTATGGCTGCCTCCCCTGGTGCATTTTCATTGCCGTTGAGACCAGCGAGCCTAAATATCATATATACGTGAAATAAGTTATTTAGAGACTATGGATGGCGAGGATAAATGTAATAAAGGGATCTACAAACATTACATTGGTGACCTACAGTGAGATGGTAACAGGCATGCGCTTAGGGCCCGCTTTCCAGCCAGTTTCTGTGGGGTGACGCATTCTGAAGTGAGGCAGAGCTCATCTGTGCCTCACCTCACCCCACAGTAAATGGCTTGAGCGCGCTCACAAAATAAGTGGCCGCGCTAAATTAGTGCCCGCGCTCCAGCAAGTTACTGTGGGCTTACGAGAGGCAGAGCACGCCCCTGCCTCACTTGTCATCGCTCCCGTAGCGGAGCTCGGCACATTTGCTGATTTTGACTATAAAAAGCGATTGGAATCATACAGAAATCACATTTACAACACAGATCAGTGGAGACATTTTATTATTATTACTATTTCGTTTTTCTTTAGTTGTTTTTCCGTTACATTGGAGTATGACAGGTGAGGCTCTGCCTCCCCTGCCTCCACTGACTGCACGTCGCTGCCGTCAACACATGTGTCCGTGCGGAAACAATACCCCCAACCTGTAGTTCCTGGATTGAATTATGTAACCCCAGTGTATGAATCAGTGATCACTACACAAGCCCCCCCAGAATTCAACCATGGACACAATCCTCGCGTCCGGGAGGAAGCACCACAGGGGCCGAGGAGGGCGGGGCCGAGGAGGGCGGGGCCGCCGGCGAGGGCCGGGCCAAGGAACGGGCCGTCGTCAGGGGGCCGCAGGAGAGGGTAGGGGCCCCAACGAGGGCGAGGGCATCCCCACCGGAGGGTGGGGGGCGGGCCGCAGAAAGCAGGGTCGCGTCGTGGGGACAGGCGTGAAACACCCGGAGGTCCCCAGCAGGGAGGAGCGCCGCCCGGCCGCTGGCGAAGGCACAGCGGCGGCGGGCACGAAGTCCTCGGGAGGAAGGAGCCGTGTCCCCGGGAGGAGGGAGCCGTGGACAGGGGAGAGGCCAGACGGGGCGCCAGACGGGGTGCCATCGAGGCGAACCGTGAGCCGCGGTTAGAGGTGAGGCCAGGCAGGGTCCCGAAGCGCGCCACCCGCGGGCCGATGAAGGCATGGGCGACGTTCGAAACCGCCGAGGCGAGGGAAGAGGCGAGACGGGGTCCAGAAGCACGCCACCCACGGGCCGAAGCAGGCGTGTGTGACGTCCGAAGCCGCCGTCGAGGTGGTGAAACAGCGAGAGGGTCCACACGAGGCCGACCAGCCATGGTCGAACCTCCTCTCAGGCACCAGAAAAAGCTCAAAAAGGGTCGTCCTGTCCACGATCAAAAACAGGTGGGCGAAATAGCGAGAGGATCCACGCGAGGCCGACCAGACATGATCGAACCTCCTCTCAGGCACCACAAAAAAAAAACAGTCGGATGTCGATAGCCGCTAGCTGCAGTGGCCAGCCGTCGTTAGCTGTTGCCAGCTGCTAGCCGTTAGCAGTCGTGGCTAGCTGTTCTCGGCGGCCGTCAGTCGCTGGCCGGACATGCAGCCGCATGTCCCGAATAAACCCGGCACGGTCGCGTACCGGCCCCATGGAAGGCTTGCCGTCCCCCAGAGCCGAAAAGCCGTGGAAATGGCGAGCGTCGTCCGCGACCATTCCATGGGGCGCACCGAGCCACAGTCCGAGCGCACGTGGCAGCTACGGAGGTCTCCAAAAATCCCCGGCATTTCGAGAAAAACAAAAGTTTTCTGCCGTGTTCGGTTCAGTCTCGGAACCTTCGCGAGACATCACGTCAGGGTCACCAATGTAGTGCCGAGAGAAGGGAGTCGGAAGCGGTGCATCGAAGGTGCAAATCTCACTTTATTGAGCAGCAGAAATCGACATGCTGTCGGGTCGCAGCCCGAGAAGGCAAGAGAAAGTGAAAGGGAGGACACACAGTAGGTACACAGTAGGTACCGTCAACACATGTGTCCGTGCGGAAACAATACCCCCAACCTGTAGTTCCTGGATTGAATTATGTAACCCCAGTGTATGAATCAGTGATCACTACACTGTACTACTTTTCTTTTCTTTTGGTATCATGTGTTATAGAGATGGTTTCATGATCAGCTGTCATATTACATGATTGCCTGTCAATCCAGAGTCGACGAAGGTGCATGAAAAACAGAGTTGGGCTTTTATTCACTAGAGGGCAGCAGACTACATGTTTTTGCATTTTGGCCAGATGGTTAACCTGCAGTAGAAAATAAGACTGCAGCTCAGTAAGACATGGGCAATAGTGACAGTTAATATAACAGTTAAAGAAATAGTCCTGACATTTTCCTTTGAGACTTATGCATCATAACTAATTCATCCACCATTGCGTCTCCACCTATTTATTTCTCTCTTGACATAAAAGGGGAACAAGGAAACTCAAGTATTTTCATAGTTCCACCTATATTGTTTTCCCCATAGTTCATACCTGTGGTAATGTAGTGAAATACCAGTTTGAGCTCTTGCTCACCAGTATTGGTCTGACATTTGAGTGTAAACCCATTGTACTCTCTGGATTAAACACTAATGAACAGGGTGTGGTAGCACCTAAGAGGTATTGTGTGAACGCAGAAATGGGTGTTGATTAGATGGTAATCACAACTTGTTCCATACCATGTGAGTGAGCCACATTCAGGTAGGAAATTATTAAGAATCAAGATTCAGGATTTTAAAACTTTATTCTCATTGTGTGAGCACAACAACATTGCTTCAGTTCAAAGAATAAAAGGCACTAATGAGATTATTGGTAGCGCTAGCCTAATAACTTTATAAAACTAGTTGAACCACCTGAATTATTACTGTACCCTGGTTTACTGTAATTTTCCCACGCAATACAGAACAATTAGGTCAACTTGTTTGCTCACCCACATAATGACAAACACACTTCCTCTGACCTGGCATAGGCCTACACATGTATGTACACACCCACACAAAAACAACAAACCCCAAATAAACCTTACTGGGCAATAGAAGTAAGGTTTTATTTGAGTGAAAATAAATACATAAGTGTATCATGCTGTGGTATAAAAAAAAGAATATGTTTGCATAAATTAATTTAATTCAGAAAAACTGGAACTAGACAGTTATGGCACACAATTCCTGTCTTGAAAAATGGGAATTCATTTATTTGTTAAAAACGGGAACACTTGACAGCACATGAGAAGGGCACACAACTTACTATCATATTTAGAGGAGACTCAAAATGAAACTCATGGTGATGTTAGACATGTGATTTCTGCAGTAATCACTCCTGTTCCACACCCAGCAGCATATTTATATATAGATTAATGGTCAACTGGCATTCAGTAGTGAGATGTGGCCTTGAAGCACGTCTCCATCTCTCTTATCTCACATCAAAGTCATCATCCCTTTTTATGGAAGAGGAGTGGCTAACTCATAAGCTACACAGTATCATTGTTCTTGTAATTTATGTGTGTAATTTATGTGTACAATACAACAAATATTATCATTTTCCATTTTTGTTTCACCTTATAATGAAAAAGAAACATACTATAGGTGCTTGTAAAGACTTCCACTGTCGGGTACAGCTGACAGTCACGTCCTTAGCTCACACACAATGGATGCTGACAGCATGGGGCATGACAAACACAAGTTGTTTTGTGAGAGATGCAGCCGGACCTAAATTCAAGAGTTCATTCTGTTGGTTTTGACGCAGTTGTCAAAAATAAAGCCCTTTTAAGACAGTAAGGAA